TCTTGATTTGTCAAAATGGACAAGTAATTAGAGACAACTATAAAAGGAAAAGTGAACAAGTAATTAGGGACAGAGGGAGTACTAAACAAATGCATCAGCAAATGAAATTTATATTAAAAATATATTGAATAATGACGTAATGATACATTAATAGAATTTCCTATCCATTTAAAAAAAAAAACTTCACCCTTTCAATTTCGTTATATCTTATTATTTAGTAGAAGAATCATCATTTATTATATTCTACTCCACCTTAATTTGTACCATCAGAGTTTTAAGAATAAACATTAAATTTTAAATCGAAATAAAAAATCATTGAAAAATGACAAAAAAAATAATAATAGTATTTGAAAATTAAAATAAGGTGCAAGAAAAGCCTTCTCACGATAATTTTTTGAAATATATTGATAACAATTAAAATGGAGATGTTATTTTATCTTTAAAATTAAGTTTGATTGAATTGAATTAGTAGAATGAGAAAAAATATTAAACTAATAATTTTTTAATGTTATTAAATGCATTTTCTTTTTAATCGAGTAGTAGATTAAAAGTTCCGAATTAGGATATTAAAATAATATCTTACTCTCTCCTTAATTATTATGGTATTGCAAACATTTATTTTCCTTAAATGGTGATTCATTTTCCATTTACAGTTATATCCAATTAATTTCTAATGTATTGAATGTGGTTATGGGATATTGAAATAATATCTTTATCTTTTCTTAATCATAATAAAATTATAATTTAACATTTATTTTTCTGAAATAATAATTTTGTTTTAATTCCTAGAACATATTGTTTACTATATTGAATGTAATTATAATAAAACATATTGTATTTAGTATGACAAAAGAACTCAAAAATTTGAGAAATTAGATAAATAGTAATCTTAGCTTCTAAGAAATGTCACATCATCATTTACATATCCAACTTTATATATATAAAAGAGTTAAAAAAGAAAAAATAAGTGATTTAAGAAAATTATATAAATAACATTAATGATGAGATGAAGATTAAGAAAAAACGTCAAATAAATTAGTAGTGTTGATGATGATAAAAGTTAAATAAATCATTTTTTCTATTATTTAAATTTTTAACATAAATTTTCAGATCTTTTAAAATTAAAAAAAAATGTTAAAAATAAAAACAAAAATCGGGGCAATAATTATTTTAAAGAAAAATATAACCAAAATTGTCAGAAAAAATTGATAAGAATAAATAAGTATCTCTATTACTAAGAATTGTGTCACTACATTTTTTATTTTAACTTTATTGTTACATATGGATAGAAACTTTTAGAAGAAGAAATGATCCAAAAATTTAAAAATAATTATTCCTTAAATGGTGATTCCTTTTCCATTTACAGCTTTTCAATTAATTTTTAATGTATTAAATATGGTTATGGATATTGGAATAATATTTTTATCTTTCCTTAATCATAATAAATTATATTTTAACCTTTGTTTTTGTGAAATGATAATTTTCTTTTCATTCGTACAACATATTGATTAATATATTGAATGTAATTATAATAAAACATGTTGTATTTAGTATGACAAAAGAATTCAAATTTTTTAGAAATTAAATAAATAGTAATCCTAACTTCTAAGAAATGTCACAAATATATATATATATATATATATATATATATATATATATATATATATATAAATTACATTAATGATGAAATGAAGATTAAGGAAAGAAGTAAAAGAAATTAATAATAATATTGATGATGATAGGAGTTAAATAAATCATTTTTTATATTTTATAAATTTTTCAGTCTTTTAAAATTAGAAAATGCTAAAAAAAATAAAACTAAAACTAAAAATCGAGACAACAATTATTTTAAGGAAAAAATAACAAAAAATGTCAGAAACATTGATAAGAATAAATAAGTATCTATTGCTAAGAAGGTGTCACCCACATTTTTTATTTTAGCTTTATTATTACATATATATAGAAACTTTAAGATGAAGAATGATCCAAAAATTTTAAAAATGACAAATCAATTATGTAAAAATACATGTGTAATTCTTATAAAGTTATAATAACTAATTGCTTCAAATAAATAATTAAAAGAAAGAAAAAAAATATTAATTAAGAAAATAATATAAATAACACTAATTATGAGATTAATAGCATTGATGAGGAAAGGAACTAAATATGATCATATTTTTAAATTCTTTTTTAAGAAAATATATATAAACTTTAATTAAAGATAAATAAGAAAAAAAAACTTTAATTAAAGATACAAAAAATCAAGATAAAATAAAAGAACAAAGAAATTAGAAGAATAATGAGGTTGAAAGAAATAATATCTAATTTTCTCTCTTTTCAAATCACAAAATAAATTTTTGCTTGTTCTCCTCCTAATTTGATACGAATTCCATAAATAGAATGATTTTTTCTCCGAATAATATTTCTTACCCTTTGAAACACTAATCAACCTTCTTATAAATTTCTCAACCACAATAAATTTTCTCTCCTTGTAGGAGGAATAAACATTTTTTTCAAAAAGTCTTTTATTTTGAAGAGAAACTTTTGTTACATAATCTCTTTCTTTACATCAATGTCTTCACAAGAATCATGAGATATTCTTTCTTTCTCTTTTGTTAAAAAAGTCACATAACCTAGAAATTTGATGGACATCTTAGCGACAGAAGTTGATATCATATATTCATCATCATCGTCAGAAGAAGAAGAGCCAAAGTGAAGAAATTTGTTCTTATTTGTTGCAAATGCTCAACTATTTTATTTTATTTTATAGGCTAAATAATTATAAACAATTATGAAATATGAATAGTTTTTATCTTTTCATCTTCCATTTCCATTTACTTAAATCTATATTAGTGTAATGGATGTTATAAAGGGCATAATTAATTGGGTATGACATAAATACTTTTTTTTTAAATACAAATAAAAAATACAAAACAAAGATAAAATGTCAAAAAAACGAGAAAAAAGATGAATAGAAATACTGGCCATAGAGAGATGCCACATCAGATTATCTATATTCAGCTTTATATATATATATATAGGTTCATACCCTTAGATGTTATTTTATTACTTTATCTGGCATCGACATTTTTGTAAATCTGATATCTACTTTGGAACATTTTATAATGTGGCATAGACTGACAATTGAGATCATAAATTTAAAAATAAGAAAATTTAATTTATTATAATACTATTATCAATATCATAAAGCTGAATATATATATATATCATTTAAAAAATATATAAAAAGTATTATAAATTGTAATAATTAACCGCTTTAATTTTTTAAAATCATATAACTAATTTGATTTACACTCCAAAATTCATAGGTGTCACATAATTTAGACATTAATTCTTTATTACTTAATATATGTAATTATATCAATGACACATAAATTGAAATAAAAAAATTACATATTTTATTTGAAAATCACGTAATAGTATTATAAGGTATAATAATTAACAACTTAACATATTTTAAAATTTTAGTTGACTCTCCAAATTCCATATGTGTCATGTAATTGAGACAGAGAGAAACATATATTAGTTTAAAATAAATAAAAATACTATAAATTATAATAATTAACAACTTAAAATTTATAAAAAAAAATCCTTTAAAAAAACTTAGTTGGCTCTCCAAATTCAATCGGTATTACAATAATTAAAATATAGAAATTAACATAGATTGGACTCGTGCTGACATTTATGTTTCCTTTTTTAAAATTTTTTCTTTTATACTTTATATAAATAATTTTTTTTATGTAAAAAGTATTATAAATCATAATAATTAATAGCTTAAAATATTTGAAAACATATAAAAAGTTTTTGTTAACTTTCAAAATTTCATCTATACCACATAAATTGGGAGAAATATAGATATATAGATATTTTAAGTTGTTAATTATTGTGAGTTATAGTATGTTTTATGTATTTTCATATATATTACTCGCTTTATCCTGATTTATGTGATACAAATGAAATTTCAAAAGTCAATGAAATCTTAATAAGTTTTTTTTTATATTAACTTGTTAATTATTGTGATTTATAATATATTTACGTAAAACATACTCTAAATAAAAATAATTAGCAACTTAAAATATATAAAGACATACTAAAAAAATGATTAACTTCAAATTTCATATGTACCACATAAATTGAAACAGAAACAGAAACAGTAACAGTAACATATATTGGGCCCCGTGCTGGCACAGGTCCCATATCTAGTATTAAAAAAAATAAGGCAAAAATTGAGGGAGCAAATCACTGTGTAGTTCAATGGGTCCCAATCACCATTAATGACCACAGCTTCACAAGTGTAGTTCAATGGGTCCCAATCACAATGAATGATATATCAGTGGATGGCATCAATTGTAATTTAACAGAAAATGATGGATTTTTTATGGACTTGTTAATGTGGTCTAAAGAATAAAGCAGAAAACACAATTTCTTTGAAACAAATTGATCTAGGAAAATACTATTATACCCTTAAACTTTCATCTAATGTCACCAATCTGACATGTTGAAACTCTCTCTTCTAATATATAGAAAAGAAAAATATAATTGTTATATGGTTTATTTATTTATTTTATTTCTCCGGAGAAATATTTTTTAGAAATATCGGGATCGAATACGTCATAAGTTATCTCTCCATCTATAGATAACAACAAATCAAATCGGCCCGACTGATATGCTAAATGGAACGTATTTAGTTAGATTATATCTCCCTTTCGTTATCTTCCACTCTTCTTGTATAGGTTGGGAAAGGCCAGATGAACTACCTTTGGGAGCTAAGTCGAAGATTGTGGTGGTCTTGTTACAAATCCACAATAAAAATAAATAAAGATGTTACATTAAAAATTATTCATCTCGATGTTTATATCAAACTATAATCGGGTTATCCTGATTAAGCGATAAAATCAAAGTAAGAACATGTGTTAAACATAATTATGTAAATAAAAGTACATCATCTCTAACACTGCCATCCACTATTAAAGCCGTTGAGCAGAAGAAATAAGTCTCAGTAACACATAATCCTTATAAAAACAATAAACTTTACTTCATAGGAGTTTAATTAATTTCAATCAATGATGGAGCTATACAAATAAAAAACAATTCCATGCACACAAAAAAAACATTCTTTACCATAAATATGTCAAACGAAAACATAAAATTTCTTTAGGCAACCAAAGTCAAGCCTCTGTTCTTTCCCTAACATTTCCATTTTCCATCCTTTTTTTCCTATTTTGTTTTCCTCTATAACTAGAGGGATGAGAAAATCGGGACACCGGGTAAAGTAGCTCCTGCATCTACTATGAACATGTTACCTGAAACATATTCCGAGGAATCGTGGATCAGATAACGTACTACTGAAGTTAAAGCCGGATTTGATGTTCCATGTGTTCTCAACGGAATAGTTCTCAGTTCAATGTTTTGAAGCCAGTCTTTTTGTATGAGACCCTCTGTTATCTCAGACTTGAAAAGTCCTGGTGATATTGAGTTCACTCTGATCTTGTATGGTCCCAATTCGAGGGCCAACACCTGTTACGTTTGAAGAATACAACGATTGATCAGGTTGTAAATCAGAACGAGAAGAAAACAATACAGAGGTGCATTACAACACAGTTCAGAGTACATTCCGAAGGTAGAACATCTTGGACAATGCCACAAGTAATATATATGAAGCATAAGTTATAAACAACTATAAAAGAATCACAGCCAAATGACTGAAATGCGCGAGGCATCACATATATAAAGTTTAACAAGGTAGTAAGACAACTAGAAATGTTATCTGCTTAGATTTCTCATTGACGCCTCCACATTTACCATAACTAGATCCACATTTCTGGCTCGATCATAGTTCACAAGAGCGTTGTGTGGCAACTATGTTAAAAGTACTCACTCTTTGTTAGTGCTACACTACTATATGTATTCTCAAACCATTTTGCACAACAAATATGTGAATCTATATACGTATGTTTCCAGAGCATTTAAATGTATATACAAACCACATTGTATAAGAAAAACAAGACACTACCTTTGTAATGCTGTTGAGAGCTTCCTTTGAAGACGTATAAGCAAGACCACCTGGTAATTGTCCACGATTAAGACCAGCGATAGAAGAGATATTGATAACAGATCCTCCTTGATTAGCAGCACGCATATGTTTACAAACAAATTTGGTCACCAACCATGCCCCTCTTAAGTTCGTTTTGTAGGTCTTCTCCCATTCCTCCTCCGACAAATCCAGTGGAGAATGCAAACTGCCTATAAGATAAAACAGATAGATTAGACATTACACAAAGACAAATACTAAAACGTAACAAATCTCTTTCACATATTCTGGAATCATTTCCCAATCAAACTAGTACCACTTTGAAAAAATCGACATGATCTATAATGAATAGCTAATATCTGCATAACTCTAACCAGCTAACAAACAACCGCTTATTAATTAAGGCTGATAGCAACTCGAAATACTAATCATGGACAAAGTTCACATACACATTGGAATATTAGGTACAAAACTTTTTACCTAAGCAACAAATAGTAATATCCACCAAAAGATACAAATTGGCTTATTTTTTATATATTATCTTTTGCTCGATAGTGTCTAATCTCTGATCCATTTTTAAATAATTTGTGGAAATATTTTAGTAATATTTTGCAAATCGTTTTCATTTTCAAAAAGTTTATGTACACAATTTTTTGAAAAAATTGGACCTACTTTTTTTTTTTGAAGAAATGATTTCAAATGGAAATTATTCTTCCACAAACTATTCTTTCAGAAAAAAAATAATCCAAAATTTGTACATATAACTCCTTGATAATGACCTTTCAAAATTCAACTAAAATTTATGAAAATAGTTGAAATTATATTATACTGGTCAAAGATACGACTTTTTTGCGAGTTTCATATTCACTATTAGTCATTTCAAGTTCAAACTATCAGTTATTTTTGGTTCCTAAACTATCCCTAATACTTGGATACGCTAAAATACTGAATTCAATTCAATAATTTGACAATTTATCAGCCAATCTCACCTCGAATACCGGCGTTATTAACCAAACCGTCGATACGTCCAAATGCATCCCAAGCTTTCTGTACGGCGGCTTCAATGGCAGAACCATTAGCGCTAACGTCAAGCTCAATCGCTACGGCACGTAAATCCTGACTCGAATTCGAGTTGATTTCATCACATAGAGATTGCAATCGATCGATTCGACGAGCGGCAGCGATGATTCTACAACCAGCTTTTGATAAATCGGAGCAGAAATCTCGACCGATTCCCGATGAAGCTCCGGTAACCATCACCACTTTTCCGGCGAGTTCTACCCATGGCTCCAGCTGGCGCACGGATTTAGCATGCTTCTCCATTTTCCCTTTTTGTGTTTGTTTTTTGCTATGTTAGTAATGAGTAGTGGAGTTACTACTAAATATATATATAGAGAATGAATGGTACATTGAATTTGGTTGTTAGATGAATTAAATGACAATATTACCCTTGACGATGTTTGGTAAGTGGAATAAGAAATAAAAACTCAAAATAATGATGAAGAACTATTTTACGGAAACTAATTAATCCCAAAATATATTTTGTACGTTAAATATTCTTGTCCATCCATCCTAACAAGAAAACCAAACAACGAACATTCAACTCCGTTACTTGTCATTTTTAACATATTCAGATAAATAAAAATGAAGGGAGAGAGTATCTAATTAGACAAGTAGTTAATATTAAGAATTGATAAATTAACTTTAAAATACTATTATATATTATTACTTAATTATAGTTAAATATTAAAAATTATATATACAATAGATGCATTTTATATTTATTTATTTTTATCAATTGACATATATTCGAATATTTGAAGTTGCCTCTTGATTTCCGGTTTTCTCATTTAACGACCTAGACTTGACTAGATAATTATTTATGTTGACCATGCTTTGACTAATAATAAAACTAATGTGGTCAACCGTCAAGCATGTGTTAAATATATTTCATATGTTTATTTTAATCGTCATGTTGTGTTTTTTTAGAGTCAGTTTGACTAATTTTCAAAGCTAAATCAGATAACATTAATTAAATATTTTAAAATAATAATTTAGATATTAAAAAACTACACAAAAAGTTTGCAATTTTTTTTTATAATCAATATGATGAAAAATTACATTTTAAAACGTTAGTCAAAATTTATATTGTTTGACTCTTAAGAAAGAAACTATGATAACTAAAAAGGAACGAAGAGAGCAATTATTTTTAATAAAAATATTTTCTTCGTTTTAGTTTATATACCTGATTTTAATTGTGAATAAAATTTAAGTAAATAAAGAAAATTTATGAATTTTGCAATTTTAAATTACAAAAAATATTTTTTAATTTTATAATATTTGTAAAATGGGGAAGTACTAAAATTTAAAATAATATACTAATGATACGGTATGATTTTAAAAAAATAATAATCAATTTCCATCTAGCTTCTTCTCCTTTTCTCTGTTCTTTACATTTACTTCTTTTCTTCCACTTTACAATTTCTCCGATTTTTCCTCTTATTTTCCCTTCAACTTTCATTTCCATAACAACCACCCACCACACTCCAAACTTTGATATAAAATAATCAGTTACTATTATATACGTAAAATTTAATTAAATAAATCTGAACAACGACAAGAAATATAATAAAGCATAACATAAAAAATTAACGTTACTTTATTAACGAGTGAATGTAACTTAGGAAATCTTAATAGCATAGTTGATTGACTAGATTTTCATCTTGTTGTTAGTGACACTTCGAATATGAACTCAAAAGAATCTTAATAACGAGTGAATGTAACTTCAAATATATTCTGCACAAGTTTGAGTTATAGGGAATGAAAGGAAAAAAATATGAACTCAATCTGCAGCCTATCAACAAGAACATGTCTCTTGCTCCGGATCAGGTCTATAAATTACGATTTATCTATGAAGCCTCTAACATGACTGAGTAACGTCTAGTGGAACAAGGCCACAACATATCTTAAGCAAACTAACATGAAATACGAAAATCGTATACACAAACTGAACAAATTTAGTTTCCTCTATGACTAGAGGGATGAGAAAATTGGGACACCTGGTAAAGTAGCTCCAGCATCTACGATGAAAATGTTGCCTGAAACATATTCTGAGGAATCGTGGATTAAATAACGTACTACTGAAGTCAAAGCAGGATTTGACGTTCCATGCGTTCTCAAGGGAATGGTTTTCAATGCAACAGTTTTAAACCAGTCCTTTTGTATGAGGCGCTCTGTTATCTCAGATTTGAAAACTCCTGGTGATACTGAGTTCACTCTGATCTTGTATGGTCCCAATTCGATGGCCATCACCTGTTACATTTGAAGAATACAATGATTTATGAGGCTGTAAATCAGAACGAGAAGAAACACATACAAAAGTATTATAGTGTGCATTACTATACACTTGACGTTGCATCAGACTGCTGCCAAAGTTGAATGGATGAGACCTAATGAGAAGGATTTTATAGTACATTTCGGAAAGTTAAACCATCTTGCTTATGTTGTCTAGCACTAACAACCATTAAGTATTAGCGACAACGCCAAGAGTAATATCTTAAAAGCGAAAGCTACAAAGAATCACAGCCAACAGACTGAAGTGTGTAAGGCATCCCATCACATATGTAAAGTGTGTGGCAACTATCCTAGAGCACTCTTCCTTATATATATATATTCTCAATATGTTGGACCATATTTTTATATGTTTCCAGCACATTTAGATGCATTCTCTAAGGTTGTTTATGAATTTATCTTCCTTTTCTCCATCGTTGTTCAAGGAGCTACCGAAGTCAGAAACATAACATATCATGTATGAAATTTGTGTGCTTCAAGCTGACAAAAGGGACTGCTTAACTTAGAAAAGTCATGTATGCCTGTCTTCATATAACTTCATGCAATTTCGATGAAGCAAGCTTAAATTTTTAAATCTCAAAGGATCACATAGTATAGAAAAACCAAGACACTACCTTTGTTATGCTGTTAAGAGCATCCTTTGAAGAAGCATAAGCAAGACTGCCAGGTAATTTTCCACGATTAAGACCAGCGGTAGAAGAGATATTAATAACAGATCCTCCTTGGTTAGCAGCACGCATATGTATACAAACATATTTGGTCACCAACCATGCCCCTCTTAGGTTCGTATTGTAGATCTTCTCCCATTCCTCCTCTGACAAATTCAGCGGAGAGTGCACAGTGCCTATAAGAAACAAATGACAGATTAGTCATCACACAACCAATTACTAAAAGGTAAGAAAGGAGATAGGCTCCAGCCTCCATGGGCAAAGATGATGCTATAGAAGTCCTAAACAACTTAATTTTCTTCCGATTCGCCCTACTTGTCCCCACCCTTGCTATGAACAGGGGCGGAGGCAGCATATAATGAGGGGGTTCATCCGAATCCCCTCGGCGAAAAATATTACTATTTATACATGGTTAAAATTATTTTTTAGGTATGTATAATAGATGTCGAACACCCTTCCACTAGTTCGTGTGTTTACTTCTTAGATTTTGAACCCCCTTATTAAAATTTCTGGCTCCGTCACTGGCTATGAACCATCACAAACCGCCCCCCAACCCACAACAACCCAAAAAGAACTTCTCTTCTGGAAGTCAGCTGGACATTTTCAAAACTTAAAACATGCACCAAAAGCAGCATTCGAAAGTCATCAAAAACAGTAACATCTTCCATTGACAAGCTTGGAGAAAGAATTTCTTACATTAATAGTTGTATTCAATTGGATTTCTGATATCTGCCCAAAATAGCTATTCATTAACTCATTAATTAAGGTTGATAGCAACTAAAAATATAAATCATGGACAAAGTTCATATACACATTAGAATGCATCAACTTTCACATAAGTACCTAGCTATATCACTTTTCTTTTTCCACATAGGTTCGACTACCTAACTTTTTACCCTAATTCACAACCTCCATGTTCTCCTATCCAATATCATGTCCTCATTAAGCTAAAACGCACCATATCCTGTCAAATCAACTCTCCTCAATACTTCTTCCACCTAACTCCAGCTCTCCTTCAGGCTTCAACCCGCGCATCGCCAACCTCTCACACTACGGTACTGGAACATCGACACATCTCCTCTTCTTCCACAAACTATTCCTTCAACAAATGGCCTTTTAATTTAACTAAAATTTGTGCAAATAATTAAACTTTTACAGTATAAATAATCTTTCTAATGTTGATCAACAGTACAACTTCAAAATAAAACTTTTGAACAATTAACTACTCAATTGCCATATTCATTGTTAAACATTTATGCATCAGAAATTCAAAACAACACAATCAAATTCTCAAAATCACCTCGAATATCGTGCAATCAAAAATTCAGAAGAAAAATTCGTCAATTTATCAATCTCACCTCGAATTCCAGCGTTATTTACCAAAACATCGATACGTCCAAAGGCGTTCCAAGCTTTCTGTACGGCGGCTTTAATGGCAGCACCGTTCGCGCTAACGTCGAGCTCAATCGCTACGGCTCGAAGCTCCTGACTTGAAACTGTCGATTCGTTCGAGGAATTCGAGCTGATTCCGTTGATCTCATCGCATAGAGATTTCAATCGATCGATACGGCGAGCGGCGGCGATGATTCTACAACCAGCTTTTGATAAATCGAGGCAAAATTCTCGACCGATTCCCGACGAAGCTCCGGTGACCATCACCACTTTTCCGGCGAGTTCTCCCCATGGCTCCAGCTGGCGTCCTACTTCAGCATGGTTCTCCATTAAATTTTTTATTTTATTTTTTCTGTCTGTCGCTATAGAAATAGTATGAAAAAATTTAAATGACAATATTGTCCTTTCATTTTGAGTGTTGTATAGCTTTTGGATGAATGACTTGAGAGAGTCTTGTACTTATTTCGATTTATGCTCTTTGGTTTTTGTTAGACGTATAAATCTATTCAAATCGTCTATTTTCAATCTCACCAATTGTATATGTGTACAATTACAAACTATTTATTTGGACATACATTTATATATGTGATTTGTCAAATTATTCGAGTTCATTGATGTTCTATAAATTAAAATATCGTTACTCTTATAAAAATAAGTTATTATTTCGTTCTATTTATTTGTCTCTTGTACTCTACCTCTGCCTCTACCAAGATACTTTGTGATGAGGAAAACAAAAAGTTTGATTTATGCAAATATTTCTTCTTGTGGGATTACACATGTTGACGTTATTATGATTCTACAAATATAGCTCTTGAAAATTATCCTTTTAACTATATTAAACTCGGGAATTATATTCACTCATATATGGAGCATAAAAAATTTGATTTTTTTCATCATCTAATATTTGTAAGACTACGATCTAATGATCTCTCTTAAATTTTCAATATGCTCAAAAATAAGCTTTAAATCGTGGTCATTTAACTAATAACTAAAAGGGAGATGAATGTGTTATTCCCTCATTTCAGCAATAGTTGTCCATTATATTAGAATTAGTTGTCCAACAACACTTGTCCAATTTAGAAAATAAAGAGATAATTTATTTTTTGTGTCTATTTTACCCTTGCTATTAAATATTATTTATCATCTCACACATTTCTTAAAGTATTAAATTAAATAAAGTTAAATGATAATATAGTAGTATCATCCTTTTATTACTCTGTTCATTCACTTTTACTTGTCACGCTTTAACTTGACATATTTATTAAAAAATAATTATTAATATAAATATTTTACCAAACTAACTCTGTTAAATGATGTTTAGTATCAAGTCTCGAAAAATAATTTGAAAAAAAAAGTTTAATACTGAGGGTAAACCAAACAACACAAAATCACCAACACACTAATCTAATTCCATCCATTTCCAGCAACCTTTAAGCAGTAGCCTGACAAAAGTAACTTTGTGGAAAACAGCTTTTTAGCTGCCTTTAAAGTATATTTTAAGTTAATTATTGTACTTACAATTTTTACACAAATCAATTATCAAGTAATTATAAGTGTATTTTCATGATAATCATTAATAAATAATACTTAAACATATTACTATCACATATTAAAATTTACTGAGTTTATCAAAGTTAAAAACTTATTCATATTTACACATATTTTCAGCATTTAATTATAACTCATTTACATGCATTCTTACTTTAATAAATTACTTAATTATAATAATTTAATATAATTTGATGTAAATATCGAACGGGTTGAAAAATGAGTTTCATTTTTGACATTGACAAAGGTAGTAGACACTGACTATATTTGTAAAGAATGAGTCATGTAGAATATTTTTAAATAATTTATGAGAAAAAGTAGTTTGTTCGAATCTTTTAAAAGGTTAATAATAATATTTTATCACAAAGTTCTCTGAATTGCAGTTTCTCTTCTTTCCTTTTCTCTGAGATGCTGTTTGGTCTTTTCACTCTCATGGAGAATCAAAATTGATGCTGCTTTGATATTTTTTGCTTACCTTTATAACTACTATTATTCCCACTTTCTATTCATGTTTTCTATTTTTTACAACAATAATAATATATTAATCCGACTTAGTCTTATAAGTGAAGTCTGAGAAAAATATAATATATACAGACTTTGCATCCTTCTTTTAGAGTTAGAAGAGATTGTTTTCGATAGATTAATTCCTTTTAGATATATAAACCAATATATATGCTCTTTATTGTAGTGAGAATGTTTAGATTAGGTTGCATGCATTTTCACTAATTCAATACAGAAGAGACAGATTCGAAATTTAAAGTTTATGAATTTTTATAAAAGAATATTATCACACATAAAGAATGAATTTTGGTGAATTTATTGATTATATTCATGGCGAAATCAAAAAGTTCGTTAAGAATGTTTAGCCATTGAAAAAGGAATTTCTTTTAGTGAAAAAATAACATAATGTTGAACACAAGGATTAAACTTAAGACTTATATGTTAGGATATTCAAGATTTAATATATTTTTTATAAAAATTATGATTTATATTCTATATATATGTGAGTATTATTTTTTAATAAAAAATGTTCAACTGATCATTCTCACGGAGTCCGAATAGTTACTCAACTTATCTTACTGTAAATATGCCCCAAATTGGATTTAAACATGATCGTATCTTCTATCAACAGTACATAATAAAAAATTATGCCTACTAAATCTTAGTATGTCAAGAAAAATCACTTTTAACTTTGGTTTCTTTATTGAGATTTGAATCCTAATATGTCATATCCATTTTGACTATTGTGCCAAACTCCTTGCAATACTACTGCTACTTTGTTTGGGGTAAAATTATGGGGAAAATTGTATGAAATAACAAATTATTAATTCAAATTAAATGATATAGTCATAATTTATTTTAATTGTAATTCACAGTAAACATCCACTTTTTTTGTCATATGATTCGGTAGAATTAGTCATTTTCGATATACAATTAGTTATTTTATACATTTCGGTATAAAATGTATAAAATGCGTTTGTGTTTGTATAAAGCAAGAGAAAAGTGTATATATAAATCCAAATACATATATTTTCGTCCTATACATTTATAATTATACAAATACATATCTTATTATATAAATTACAATGTATAAATGAATTTATACAAAACTAAACAATTTGTATAAAATTGAATGTTTGTAGTGAATTATACAAATCAAAAGTTCTATAGCAAACATAAAATTTGCTATGAAGCGCAGTTATGCAAACTATAGCTACAACATACAAATATAATTTTTATATTTGCTATATGTGAAAGTTCCTCAAAATTATATAAGAAATATAGAATATTTTAAAGATGTGAGACGTTTTATAAAAAATCATACAAGTTTGATTTGAAAACAAAAATTCAGTATGATCATCGAATATCGAATCAAAACAAAAATATAAATATTTCTTTTTAGTTTTTTATTTAATATTTGATAATTATAATAGAGCCTAACTAAATTTAAATTTTACACTGAAAAATCATACGTGAGATAAAAAATGGTCTTTTAACAAAGACAATTTCTTATTCATGAAATTCAAATTTAAAACTCTCGTGATTAACTATGAAAGAGTACTTACCATTCGATACGTTTATAAGTGTATATGTATCATAAAAAGACTAAAAAGAAAGCTTCCCAAAAGCCCTCAGCTTTTATATCTTTGTCTGCCATTTAATTCCCATAAACAAACAAATCACTATCACATAAATTCCCACAAAAACCTCGTCCTTCTTCTCTCCCTTTTTTTCTATACAAAATTTTCCTCTTAAATAACACTTCTTTAATAACTATTCCGATATACTATTTCATTCTTTAGCTGAAAAAAAATGAACTGTTTTTAGCTCATTGAGTTATTACTTTGTCTCAGTTGCCTATAGCTGAGAGTTAAAGCAGAAGAGAAAAAACACAAGTTGTTTCTGTTTTTGGGGTTCATTAATAAGTTCTTGAATGAAAAAAATGAGTTTCATGAAAGAAAGTTTGAATCTTTTTTGTGTTTTTTCCATTTTTTTGGTACTCAAAGCCATATTCTGATTTGGGGTTTGTTCTGTTTTTAAGCTAATCTTGAGAAAAAAAAGTGTTTCATGAGGGAAAGTTTGTGGATTTTTATTGTGTTTTTGTGAACCCCATTTGATTTTTGTGCCCCCCAAAAGCCATATTCTGATATTTTAGGGGGGGAAAATGATAACAGTTTCAGACCTTTACCATGTTCTAACTGCTGTAGTTCCACTTTATGTAGCTATGATATTGGCATATGGCTCAGTGAAATGGTGGAAGATTTTTAGTCCAGATCAATGTTCAGGAATCAACAGATTTGTAGCTCTTTTTGCAGTTCCATTGCTATCTTTTCACTTCATTGCTTCTAACAATCCTTATGCTATGAACTACAGGTTCATAGCTGCTGACACTTTACAAAAAGTCATTGTTCTTGTTGTTTTAGCTATTTGGTCAAGAATTAGCTCAAGGGGGTCTCTTGAATGGTCCATTACTTTGTTTTCCCTTTCAACTTTGCCTAATACTTTAGTTATGGGAATCCCTTTGTTAAAAGGGATGTATGGTGATGCCTCAGGGAGTTTAATGGTTCAAATTGTTGTTCTTCAATGTATCATTTGGTACACTTTGATGCTTTTCTTGTTTGAGTATAGAGGTGCTAGAATGCTTATTGCTGAACAGTTTCCTGATACTGGAGGATCAATTGTTTCATTTAAAATTGATTCTGATGTTCTTTCATTAGATGGAAAAGAACCATTAGAAACTCAAGCTGAAGTTGGTGATGATGGGAAACTTCATGTAGTTGTTAGGAAATCAACTAGTTCAAGGTCTGAAATATTTTCAAGAATGTCACATGGTCATAACACTGGTGGTCTTTCCATGACACCAAGACCATCCAATTTGTCTAATGCTGAGATTTACTCTTTGCAATCTTCAAGAAATATGACCCCTAGAGATTCAAATTTTAACCATAATGATATATACTCAATGGTGAATGGGAAAAATAATGCAAATATGAGTCCTAGGACATCAAATTTTGGTAACTTGGGATTTGATGAGGAGAGTGGATTTGGGAAGACTAATGTAGGGTACCCTGCACCTACTAATGCTGGGATTTTTTCTCCGGTGACCGGAGGACCGGGGACGAAAAAGAAGGCTAATGGGACAGAAAGTGGAAAAGATCTTCATATGTTTGTTTGGAGTTCAACTGCTTCACCAGTATCTGAAGGAGGGATTCATGTGTTCAGGGGAGGTGACTTTGGTAATGAGCTTGGAATTGGACATCACTCAAAAGGTTGGGCACACACTTCCATTATTTACTATGCCATATTTTCAACATGTCTAAAAACTCATGTCTTTTAAGTACTATTTTGTAATTTAGTTGGTTTTGGTTATGTTGTCTTGGTTGAGTACACTATTTTAATGAGATAGCATGTGGTCATATGTCCTTTTCTGTTTAATAATTTAGTTGGTTTTGGTTGTATTGTCTTGGGATGAGTACACTTTTGTTTTTGTGATTCTATGCTTGGTCTAGAGATTTTTTAATTTGTGATTCACTAGAGAGAAATATGTGGGGTCTGAGGAGGATAGAGTGCACGCACACCTTACCCCTACTTGACGGAGGTAGAGAGGCTGTTTACGAAAGACTAGTTCTTTCGCATATCAGAGCAGAGAGAAATATGTGAATGAACTGTTTTTGTTTTGTTGAGCCTGCTGCATTATTGGTGGCATTCTACTATAGTTTTCTTGTTTGAGGTCTAGCTTTGTCCTTTCTCAAGGAAATTCCTGAAATTATGATCCACTTTTGTCTCCTCGCGACAATGCTTGCATTACTTAAAATTATCGTTTGTATGGGTATACAATCCAGAATTTTGAGTTATAGAGTGCAAGAATCACCACAATTACTAATTTTTTGAGATAACATGTGTGCTTTTTTAATAATTATATGTACTTTTAACCTTTTGAACTATATGTGTATAGTTTGTGTTGAGGACAACAATGTTATCAAAAGGTCGCGTTCATATTATGCTCCTCATTTTCCTTCAGCAAGTTAGGTACTTTTCTTTTATAATTAATGATTGATTTCATAATCTTTTGTGCATTAGATTATGATGATTTTGGTCGAGAAGAGTTTTCTCTCGGGGATAAAAATAACTCCAATGGATGTCATCGAGAAGAGCCGGTGCTAAAGAAGCTTGGATCAAGTTCTACAGCCGAGCTGTTTCCTAAGACTGCTAATGAAACTAAGGCTACTGCTATGCCTGCTGCTAGTGTGATGACCAGACTTATTCTGATTATGGTGTGGCGAAAACTCATTAGGAACCCGAATACTTATTCTAGTCTCCTTGGTCTCGCTTGGTCCTTGATCTCATTCCGGTATGCACACTGAAGTTTCCTTGACTTAAACGTATTCCGATACATGTATCAATGTACTATGTTTGAATCTCAAACTAGTTGTAGTCGGCTATATAAGTCATCCGCATTCCATTCTGGTTTATTTAACTCAATTACTAAATAATTGATATGGTTTCAGGTGGAACATTCAGATGCCTTTGATTTTTGCTAAGTCGATATCAATTCTCTCCGATGCTGGTCTTGGAATGGCAATGTTTAGTCTTGGTATGACGTTTATTCTTACTAACATTCACAATAGTACTAACCATTGGCCTATGCTTATGGTAAAATTAATGGTCGTTGGAACTCATTTGTTTCCGTAAACTTCAGGTTTGTTCATGGCGTTGCAGCCTAAAATGATCTCCTGTGGAAAAACAATTGCTGCCTTCTCTATGGCAGTGAGATTCATCAGCGGTCCAGCAGTCATGGCCGCTGCCTCCTTCGCTATTGGACTTCGAGGTGTTCTTTTGCATATTGCAATAGTTCAGGTAAAGGACCTAAAAGGTTATCCTTTGCATATTCATTCTCGTTTTTCTTTTCATAACTAATTTGATTTGTTTCACTTGAGCCGAGTTTCCTTCAGAAACAACTTCTCTACCTCCACGAGGTAGGGATAAGGTCCGACAATACTCTACTCTCCCCATACCCCACTTTTGTTATTTCACTCGGTATGTTGTTGTTGTAATCGTTTCGTATATTTAATATTTCAGGCAGCTCTACCTCAAGGAATTGTTCCTTTTGTCTTTGCAAAAGAATACAATCTTCATCCTGATATACTTAGCACAGGGTAAGGACTCCACAAACTTATATATCACTATAAACATTTCTTACTTGTTACGTGCATTTCGACTCATTCCAACGAATTATTCACCTACAATTATCTGATTTTGATTTGGTTTAGCACTTGTCGTTGCATAGAACTTAAAACTCTTCATTTCGTTTTGTTCCTGAAAGACAACCACGATGCCCTATATTGTTGCTCGGACTCTCTGAAAATGAACTACTATTGGACAATCCAACACAACTAACAACATTTTTGAAGAGTTCGAGCAACATATATAGACGTTGCATGAAGTATATACACTTTAGTAATAACTTGGTATTTTTCGGGTTTCGATCGGTTGCCTTGTAATATTGGTATTGGTGATTTTGCAGGGTTATATTTGGCATGTTAATAGCCCTTCCAATCACTTTAGTGTACTACATTTTGTTGGGGCTTTGATACTGAAGAGAGTAAAGCTGCAGAGAAGTTGTTAATCTAAAAAGGAAATGACTTTTTTGCCACTGCTTTTTTATGGCTTCCAACAAAATTAAATTTATTTTGTTGTCTCTTTATTATCCCTTCTAGTTTTGAACCTTTTGTATTGTGCAATGTTATTTACTAACTTAATTAGTTGTTTTTCATGAAGAAAGTGAAAACTCATTTCTCCAGTTTAGGACCTTATCGGAATAAGTTATATCATAATTAATAATTAATCGCGATAAGTTATCCCGATCAGAATGTGGAACAATAGTATTAAAATTGATTATTTTAGGATAAAGTAATAAAAATGAAAAAATGTAATTAATATCAATATCATAACTAATTTCAACATAATTGATGCATCAAGTTGTACAAAATATATAGCTTAAAAATTATTTTCATATATATAGTTTTGAAATTAGTAGAAAATGTATTTTTAATTTTGGCGCAAGTTATTAGTTTCGTCTCCTTAACTATTAATAGCCTTAAAAACATTCGAATATTTGACTAACTAAACTTAGATACATCTCAATTTGTTACATGACACAGTAAGTAATCTCAAACTCCTGTGGGATCATGAAACTCTTATTAAAAAGTCAAGAAAAGTGTTAAAAACACTCTATACTTGGCGAGAAATTTAAGTGTGTATTTCATTCATATTGCAAAATTGAAAGTGTATTTTAAATTCAATTAATTAAATAAAATGATACTTTTAAGTTTGTTAATAATTTAAAAATAAACTAATAATTTACGTAAAATTCGGAATTTTCTTTCCCTCTGTCTGACACATTCTGAATGGCGTGCTTCATGTGTGTTTTGTTTTGGAACACTGAACACTTGCCATTGTTGTTTCTCATTGCGCGGTCCACTGTTTTTTAACTTTGTCATAAAAAAGTGGAAGAATATTCCCTTAATTGGGATTATCAAATTGAAAAAATGACAAAAATTGATTATTTTTTTCTGTTCTGAAATAAATTAATACATGATATGGTATAATATAATATTATAAAAAATTAATATTATTTGACTTATACATGGAGTACGTAAGTATTTACTTACAAAAGGAAATACTTTTGAAATAGGAATTATAATATTAGTCTTTCAATTTCGGTAGGTAAGAGATTGTTTCCACAACTCGAACCCGTGAGCTCATACTGACATAACTAATTACATCAAGGCCCTTGAGTGCAAATTTTTGATGATATATAGCTGTGTAGGGCGGTGGTGGTACATACTACATACTACATTGTTCGTTTCAATTTATTTTTGTTAGGCCTTATTTATATTCGTTAAGATCAAGAATGTATTTGATAAAAAGAAAAACTTTTTTCTGCAAAATGTTTTTTATTTTTTTATTTTTGGTTGGTCAATATATTTTGAAAAATATCATTTTTATGAAAATAAATTTCTTAAACAAAAAAAGAGAAAACTGACTTTTCTAATGAAAATAGGGGGGGGGGGGGGGGGTGGTGGTGGAAGAGTTTCATAAGTAATATTTCAAATTTATTGTCTTTTCTCTATTGTGAGACCCCCCCACTTCTATCTCATTCTGCCCATATAATCTGGCTCTAATAATAATTTCGGACAACAAATGAAAAACCAAAAAAGTGTGTAAATATACTTTAATTTTAAAGCATAGTGGTGTCTAGTGTAAGTGTGTAACTAACATTTTAATTTATTACGCCTCATTTTTAATTTATGTAGAGTGATTGATTTGATATATCGATTTTCATTGCTCCTATCAATTCAGATTCATCCCATTTAAAACTCATTTAAGGGTGCAACACTACTAAAAATTTCTCGATTTTCATAACTTAAACAAAATCTCTAATTTAAAGCTTAAAAATCCTATTCATATTCATCTCATCATATTTCTTTAGGAATGTTACGAGTTTAAGAAAGGAAAGACAAATTTTATTCAAAACTTGAAGTCTAAACATACAATTTATTTATAGGAAATGAAACACACTTCTCACTAGCATTCATTTGAACTAAATAGCAACCCTTTTAACTACTTTAGCCATCAAACCATTTGTCATTCTAATCACAACAGTAGCTGTTGGTGAAATTGTTTGTGCTTCCAATAATTGAATATTGTAATTGTATATCATGGTAGCTGCCACCATTTTCATCTGAATGAATGCCATTTCCTTCCCAACACAAGTCCTTGGCCCTGCGAGAAACGCTGGAAATTTGTAAGATGGCTCATGTTTAAGCCCTCCACGTTCAGTAATCCATCTCTCTGGCCTAAACTCTAAACAATCTTTTCCCCATAAACTCTCCATTCTCCCCATTGTATAAAACGATATCAATATTTTCATGTTTGGACTCACACGATGACCACTTGGTAGGACGTCAAGTTTAAGTGGAGATTTATGCTCAATTGAAACGGGTGGGAATAGTCTAAGAGCTTCACACAATGCACCATGTAGATAGACCAATTTTCGCGACTCATCTATGTTGAAAAACTTGAGACTTTCGTCTTCTTTTAGATGGAATTGTTGTTGAATCTCTTCTCGAATCTTTTTCACAACTAAGGGATTTTTACCCAAGTGCCAAAAACACCAAGTGAGAGTTGTACTTGTAGTGTCTCTACCAGCAAACATCAAATTCAAGAAAGTATCTCTTAGAAATTTTTCTACACTTCCCAAATGCTTATCATCTTCATTTATCCATTGATTATATGCTTTGACATAGTCACTGAATAGGTCAAAATCATCGTCTTTAATTTTATTACTCATCAACTTCTCTTGCCTTTTCGATATAGCAGGATATATGAATTGATCAAGAGCCTCCCACGCGTTCATTAGATTCTTTTCTTTACCAATTCGAAGCCATTTTTGCAACTTCCAACAGCTTTCAGGCAAGACATGTCGATATAAAAGTGCATCAACCATGTCGTTGAACGCCTTTTCACATGGTACATAAGGTAGATTTACAGACAAACTTTTGGGATCGTGATCAAGTAATATTTTACTAATAGTATCGAAACTAAATCTCTGAAAAATGTCTTGCAAATCAACAGGGGTGTCCTGTTTTGCAAAAATATCAAGAGTTGGAACAATACCTTTAACGATCGTGTCCCATACGTTACGTTGTAACAAAGTTTGGAACTTGGCATGGTTCATTAAGGACATGGTTGTTTTCCTATGAATCTCCCATAATTCAGAATCAACATTGAAGATACCATTTCCTAATATATCGAATATTTCACGAAACTCAGGTCCCTTTGGATAGTTTGAGAAATTTCGACTCAAGATATGATGGATATTTGCAGGATCACTAGTGAATAACATGTCCATGTTGGCGAAAATAGGGCCACGGAACTCGAAATTGCTACTAGTTTCTAAGAGAAGATCAGTGAAAAATGAATGGATTCTATGAGCATTATGAACAAATCCAGGCAACATTCCAATAATGGGCCAATATGTTGGTTTTGAAGCTTTGGTCCATTTATTTTTCAAGTACCAATAAGTGAAACATAGGATTATCAAGGGAATAACACAGTAACCAAGAACATCCATTAGTGTCTGCACAAAATTAAGACAAATATTAGTCAAAATTAATGTTTTTTTTTAATTTTACGTGATATGGTTAAGACCATAAGATTAAATGACATTACAGTATATTCCACATGTTGAGAGTAGTTAGACAGTTAGTTAAATTACTGTTAGTCTGTTAGTTAACAGGTCATTAGTCAATAAGCTTTCTTCATAACTGATATGGCAAGATCTGCTTAATTTTACCCCATGTATCTTTAGTTTAACACCACAATTGCAGAGGCGTATTTAGGATTTTGAGATAATGGGTGTATTATTACAAAAATGTGGATCTAAGATGTAAAATTTGATCAGTTTGACATTTAGATTCTTATCACTAAAAATCGTTAAAATTATAGATCCAAAATTAATTTTTTTCTATTTCGCACGGAAGGTATTGAGATCGACTGAACTCATTGATGGTATGTTATATCAATCACAAGATTAAAAAAAAATTGATTACTTTCTTAAACTTTATATCAAAATCAAACAAACAAATTTAAACGTAGGGAGCGAACAATCACAACATGAACACAGAAGGTAAAGCCACCATTCATACACAATACATATACCTAACTTATTTCTAACAAACACCAACAACCTCCAATTCAAAATACTACTCTCCTGTCCCTTTTTATTTGTTCAATTTCAACTTTTTATTTGTTATGTTTGACAAATCAAGAAAAAAAAATATTTTTTTACCTATTATACCCTCAATTTACTTAAAGAGTTAATGTTTTTGAAAAAGGTAGAATCTTTTTAATGAGTAAATTGATTTTGGAATTCTATCAACGGAGTAAAATGATAAACTCACTATGCCAATTATTATTTTCTTAATAGGTGTGTTAAGTAAAAAATAAACAAGTAAATAGAGAGAGTGTAATTATTTAACTTTCCTAGTAATAAACCAAAAGAAGTACAACTAATTAAAATATGAAATAGTGGAAAATGAGATTTTTTTTATATAACATAAATAAAAGTTTAGAAAAAATACCATGAGTAAATATGAAGCTTGTATGTTGTATATGTTCTTGATTATAAATCTTGGCTAAAATTGAGAGAGGTTTTATAAGTAAAGAATGACATTAATTTTCACAACGAAAAGGGCTATTATATAGTTGTGTAGAGTGCGGCAACGGTAGCACCACACTATTTGTTGGGTGCATAGATATGGGGACGAAACTCTCTTTATAGCGCACACACATTGTACGGTAAAATTTCACTGAATTAATATTCGGTAAATTAATAATTTCTTTAAGATTTTGATCTTGATTTGGGCCAATGGAAAAAATTACTCAATTTGATAAGATAATATATTTTCAGAAGACCCCTATATAAATATATGGTTTCATTAATATTATAAATTACTTATTCTTTAAAAGTACAAATATATATGTAAGACAATTTAGTGAATTATGATTCTATTATTTTTTTTATTAAATTTCAAATCTAGTTGAAGCTCATCTCTAACTTTTTTTATTGCATCCAAAAATTTCGGTGTTGCCATGACTATAAATCTGTTTGAGTGCATATGGAATGATATCTTTTGTATTCACATAATGTTTTACGTATTTGATATATCATAGTTGATTTTGTGATACCTTTTAAATGAGAAGTCATTTATGGATATGGTTTCAAAAAGAATTCTATGTAGCTTATATAGTTTATTCTCTCACCGTCATACATCGAATGTTTCTAGTGAAAGATACAATGAATAATATATGATTATTAATAAACAATGAATATTATGTATAATGAATTTATTTTTACAATGAATCATTGAATCTTGAATTTATTTTATAATAATTTAATAATATACATTGTACTTTATGAATTTATTTTTTATATAAATTCAACAAATATGACACATAATTTAGTAAGATCCAATGATTTTGATGTATTCACTGTACTTTATATATAATAAATTTATTTTTTATGTGAATTCAATAAATATGATTCATATATATATATATATAGTAAGAGATAATGATTTTGATGTAATCAAAATTAACCTTCATTGAATTTTAAAACACACTTTAAATTAAAAAATATTTATTTATTGATTAAATAATATCTCTATAAAATAATAGTATTTCATGATCCCACCTATATTAATTTAGTGAGATTTTACTGTATTTATTTTAGGTTGTATATCTAAGTAAAAAATAGTGTAACTACTTATAATGTTATAATGATAAAACCAACAAGAGTAAATCAATCAAAATTATATATTGAGTAACAAGGTAGGTGGCGTTTGAGCATGAAAACTAAATTTAATTAAATTTCTTTGAAAATTTTAGGGTGGGAGTTGGAGTTGTGTTTAATCATGATAAAAAGTATTTAGAATTTAAATGTATTTTTATAAAAGTATGAAATATGATTTATATCTGAAAATTTTAAAACCTAACAAACTTATTCAACTAGAACATGTTTGGCATTGCTGCTAAAAGCTGCTCATTTTTTGAAGCACTTTTTAAATATAGGTTTTCAAAAAGTGTTTTTGAAAAAATAATAATTTGTGTTTGGTTAATTCATTTGAAAAACGTTTTTGATATGCGAATTGTGTTTGACTAATATTTTAAAAAAAAGTACTTTTGAGAGTCAAATTATGAAAAAAGGATAAGTATCAATACACTTTTAATATTAAGATCATTTTAAATATGTATTATACAATTTAATTTAATTTTTATTTTTATTAATTAAAATTTGCATACTCATTTTTTCAACCAATATTGTACATATATGAATTAAAAAAAAAATTAAATCATGAGTTAAATATAATTAAAAATATCAAAATAAATTTAAAAATCATTTCATAAACTAAATCACGACATAATAAAAACTTATCACGAATAAATAAATAAATATAGAGGATATATTGGTAAATATGTATATATGACAGAGATATTTTGGTTTTGCAATAAATAATTTTCTGCTTCTACTCCTTCTGTTTTTTTTAAGAAGCAAAATTTTTAGCTTCTTCACAACAACACAAAAACTACTTATGCTTCTACTTAAAAAGAGTTTTACTGATTAGTTAAACACCTTATTTTTAAAAAAAGAAGTGTATTTTATTCAAAATAAATATTTTTAGCCTTTCAACAACAATAACAAACATGCTCTTAATTAATATATCTAAAAATATAAATTCAAAATTGTTCTAAAAAAGTAATGTCACATTTATTTGCATTGCAGAATTTTAAAAGTCTGAATCAGATCAAAGTTGGACATAACTAACAAAAACATAAAAAAAGTTATCCAATTTGATTGAAAAGAGAATAAATTTTGCAGATACGGTAGTTGGGTATTTACTATATGTTTTTTTTTAAAAAAATAAATAAATCAATCAAATTTGGACCAGTGGTCAGTTTTTTTATTAATAAGGCATGTACTATATGGTTGGTGTCTGAAATAAATGGTTATTTTAATAACAGAAAAAATTGGGACAAACTCTCAAAATAAAGGTGATATGGAAAACGTGTAAACAGAATTTTCTGATTAATAATAATTTTAAATAAAATGAAAAAAAAAATGAATAATTTCCATGATCAAATGTGATCTAAATTATCAAAAATAAAACTCCTTTAACTATGTATAACTAATAAACTCTTCACTTTAGTCTGGGTTTTCCCTCTTTGGGCTTGGGTTGATAGTACCCATGATGGTGATGCCTCAAAATTAACTATCCATGTGAGGTCATCGATCAGCAAAGTCATAAAGAAATATACGTATTTTTAAAAGAATCTTTTCACGAAAAGATAATAATCAAGTCTTGACAATTCAAGTGAAAAGTTTTTAAACTGGTTCCATTAATTAAGATGATAGGGACATGAACTATCGAAAGTTTTCGTCTCGATAATTACTTAGCAAGAGAAAGGCAATGCAAAAGTATTCCTCTTAAGTGAGAAAACATAAGATGCTAAAGCTCAAGTAATTCGTCGAATAGCTATAAGACCTTGAAAGATTTTTTTCTTCAAATGTCAGTAGCGGAACGTTTAGTCTAAATCAAAAAGGGATGTCGCACCTACCGCTAAAGGAATTGTTTCGACCATTGCATTCCTAAATTATGTGATTTGTTTTAGAGTATTATAAATAATTAAATGAAATAAATTTGTGCAAGAGAATACTGATAATTAATAATCCATAATAGAAAATATATCTTAAAATGGGGAACTTTCACATATAGCCACTCAAAAATAGTCTAATTACTCTCCATAGCTATAGTTTGATAATTACAATTCGCAGCTAGATGTTATATGGAGGAGAGAGGCGAGCGAGACTGGGAGAGAGAGGAGAGAGGCGAGAGAGAGGGGGCAAAGAGTGGAGAAAGGTGAATTGTATATGTATATAGGTTAGATAATTGTATATTATACATATATATTTGTATATATGGCCAGCGAGATTGGGAGAGGGAGGAGAGAGGCGAGCGAGATTAGGAGAGGGAGGAGAGAGGCGAGCGAGATTGGGAGAGGGAGGAGAGAGGCGAGCGAGATTGGGAGAGGGAGGAGAGAGGCGAGAGAGAGAGGGCAGAGAGTGGGAGAGAGGTGAATTGTATATGTATATATGTTAGATAATTGTATATTATACATATGCAATTGTATATATAGCAAGCGAGATTGGGAGAGGGAGGAGAGAGGCGAGCGAGATTGGGAGAGAGAGGAGAGAGGCGAGCGAGAGAGGGCAGATAGTGGGAGAGAGGTGAATTGTATATGTATATAGGTTAGATAATTGTATATTATACATATGTATTTGTATATGCTGACGAATTATACATATACAAACATGACTAATTATACAAACTCGAAGTCAGCCCGCGTAATTAATGTATAATGTTAGTCGTGAGTGGTAATTATAGCAAACTATAGCTATGATGAGTAATTAAGTAGTATAAGTTTGCTTAACCGCGTAATTTTCCCAATTAAAATTTATATAGTTTGTCTCAAGAATATTGTGACAAAAATTTTAAAACGAAAGGACTAAATTTTCAGTGAAAAATGAATGGACTCTATGCATATTGTGAACAAATCCAAGCAACATTCCAACAAGGGGCCAATTTGTTGGGACTGAAGTTTTGGTCCATTTATTTTTCAAGTACCAATAAGTGAAACTTAAGATTATCAAGGTAATAATAGAGTACCCAACAACATCCATTAGTGTCTGCACAAAATTAAGAAAAATAAATTCTTGAGTTAAATGATAGGTAAGTTGTAAATATTATCGTAAAAATATTTGTATATAATTTAAATAAATATTATTTGAGGTGGGGGTGGTGATGGAGCTACGACGCTTAAGATGAGTTGTGTTACTGTACTAGAGAATATCATTAACTAATAAAAATGTGCTTTCTCTAACAACTTAAAGTTTTAGATGAAATGCTCACACACTTCAATATGGTATCAGAGTAGGCAAATGTCCTAGATCGAATCTCACCGCTACCCAAATCAAAAAGAATTTTCACGTGCTTGGCCCATAAAAAAGAATCAAGCCCGCACGTAAGGGGCGTGTACACACCCTAAATGGAAAGACTGGGATGGCGGGGGGGGGGGTTAAGAAAATCTAGTTAGACATAACTTCTTTTTCTTTTCGAAAAAAGAAATATTCTTTCTGTTTCAATATATTTGTTTTTTTTTTTTTTAGCCAGTTTCAAAAGGATTTTTTTTTAACTCTTTAAATCCACTATCCATACACAATATATGCATATAGCCTCAAATACCAACAACCTCCAATTCAAAATAATGAATAATTTATCTTTCCTAGTAAAGCAAAAGAAAAATTAGAAGTAAGTCAAAAGAAGCACAGTGAATTAATATATGAATATATAGTTGAAAATGAGAGTTAATATCACATAAAAGTTTAAGAAAAATACCATGAACAATTATGAAGCTTGTATATGTTATGTTATAATTCTTGATTGTAAATTTTGGCTAATATTCATTAACAAAAGGCTATTATATAGTTTGTACTTTGTATAGGGCGTGCGGCGATGGCACCGTACTATATGTTGGGTGATAGATATAGGGGCGGAATTTCTAATAATGTACGCAAACTTTATTAATATATATTTATTT